GTCATGTTCCACTATACTAATTTTTTTCTGAGATAGAGTCTCATTATGTAGCCAGGGCTGATCTGCAAATAACTATGTAGGCCAGCCAGACTATCCTCACATTTGTTTAACTCCTGTCTCTGCTTCCAGAGAACAGAGATAACAGAAATGTGCACCAGGCCTAACAAACCTATGCTTTTTTATTCATTAGCTTTCAGAGCTCTGAATTATGAATCTCTGTGTTATTCTCACTATTTCTTCTTATAAGGAAATTAAGTTTTTCTAGAGTATAGTCAATCTGTGTTTCATTGTACAATGTCAACTGCCTTGTTCTCTTTCATAATAATTTCAATACCTTAGATTTTGCAGTTCTGTTTTTATGACCAGGTTTTCTCCATGTAGCTTTTAGTTGTGGGAACATGACTCTGTATATTGTGTTTTATTTTGCTATGAATCATTGGTTTTCTTGAACATAATCTGTAGGAAGTTTCGGCTTTCTATCAAATGATCTTCCAGAGGGTCATGATCTGACTTGGTCTTTATGACCCTTCATTATCCAGGTGATCTATGCAGCCATACAGTCTACACAGCAGGTACTTTACAGCTCTTAGCAGAATTCCCCCCAGCCCCCACCTTCACCCTGTAAAAGCCAATTTGACACTTATTAACCCCCCTGCTTTCCTGACTTGATTTCACCTAGCTCTTAGTTTATTACTCATTTTCACAAAGTGAAAGACAAACAATACACAGAAGATGATTTTATTTCATTTCTAGTGTTTCAGTTATTTAAGACAGGAGAGATTCATCATATGCACAAACACACGCATGTACATATGCACATGTACTACTAGAGGCAAATAATCTTAGTAAACTTCATTTTCTTTTTCAAGTAATATTTTTATTAATTCTTTGAGAATTTCATACAATGTATTTTGGTTTCCCTTCTTGCAAAATAAGATTTCTTCTACCTCTGTCTCACTCTGAGGTCTAAGTCCACTAGACTCTCACATGCATGTCTGGGGCTCCTATCCAGCTCTCAGGTAACCCCAAGTTTTGCGTCCCTTTCCTTGAGTCCATTGTGTTTTGTCAGAACCCAAAATTATAAGTTAAGTGGATTCCTCCTGTATATGAAAGCTGTGTTTGCTCTTAGGATTGCTGGCTTTATATTATATCTATATATGTGCTGGAAATTTCCCTTTTTTTATTTAATTAGAAATGTATTTTAAGATCCCACTCAATATCATTTTCTGGGGAGATGAACAAATATCTATTCACTCTGGTAGGGCACAGTGACAGACCAGAGTAACACTTCCACTCAAGTCTAATGTGGTGAATCAATAAGTTCAATTAGGGTTGTTTATAGGAGCACGGGTATGATTTACAGGAGCACGGGCAACTTGAGATGGGCTACACCGCTGAAGAAAATGTGTCTCTCATGCCCATTTCTCTCAGTAAAACTTGTCCTACCCTAATTGTTCTCCAGTTCCTGATATTCATGGAGACTTCAGCTAGAACAATCAAGCTTTCCAATGACTCATCTGAGCCATTGTACCAGGGACTCATTTCCCTCTTACTGACTCATTATGCAACCTTTGCCTTAAAGGGGGATGGGTAACTGTATTACTCTGTTTCTCCACCTCACAGCACTCAGACTGATGCCATCTGTTCCTGTGTTCTTGCCCTACAGCCGCGCAACCCACCCTGGGAGAAGCTCTTTAATTTCTTGTTTAAAAGCCTCTCATTCCAAGCAGTTCAGAAGCAAACAGTCCCGGATCATCACAGGTTCCTGTCCCAGAACATTGTTACTGCCGCTGCCTGTATGCTGTATCAAGGACTTTTTTCTCTCTGTGTGTTAAAGTTTGGACCCCAAGGTTATCATCTACCTCTTCCACCTCACTCCCCCTTCCTCACTTTCCAATGCTGCCCATGGGTTCCACTGTTTGGGATTCTAGGAGGAGCTATTTAGCTCAGATCGAATCGGTGTTCTCTTTTCTCTCACACACCTCAGCTGTAAGAAGCAGCAAGCCAGCAGCACCATCTTATTTCCTTCCCTTCAATTTTCCTGTCAATGCGGAGGCTACTATGGAGGTCAGCACCTGCACGTTTTGCTCTCATTGTAACTCCTCCCTTAACACCGGTAAGTTCTTTTTGGGCTGACAGATCAGCCTTGGTTACAGTTCTTGTTTCTTAGAGCAAGGGTCACACTATTGATGCCACAGCCTGCTTTCAGTCCCATGCCATCTACTACTTTTGGAGATTGCTATACATCCTGTAGTCCATCTGCCATTTGGGGCGAATCTCCATATTCACTCCCTACACCCACATGGCATTCCCAATTCATCAAGGAAGCATGCTGCATCATACCACATGAAGGAAGACAGCAACCCTGGGATTCCCCAAAATATACCTTCCATATTCAAATGAAACCATCTTAGTCACGTGTCTTCTCACCATAGCAAGACAACGCAACTCCTACTGCAGCACAAAACCTTGCTAATCCATACCTTGCAGGAAGGATGGCTACATCAGAGTTGCCCAATCGATGCTCAGCCCTCACGCAGCTTGGCTTCAGTTTCGGTCTAGTCACTCACAGCAGAGACCATGCGAGTCCTCCCAAACTCAGCTTTGGTTCTGTCACATCCTATGTACAAGCACTAAATGTTTTATGAATGTTTTATGAGAAGACATAAACAAAGTCCACTTATCCTAGACAAGGCACCAATGACAGAAACAAAGAAATGACTCCACACAAATATGTCTTCCTAAACCAGTGGGGTTTAGGGGTTTAACGGGTTCTTAGAGGAGCACAAGCAACTTACAGGTGGGTACATAATGAAGAAAAAATCTCAAGAACTATTAAAATATCCTTGCGAAGAGGTAGGACTTTATGATCCCTCCCCTTAGTGCTAATTAACTGCTTTAAAGTCCAGGAGAGAGGTGCTCATGAGCTCTACTCTCTAGCAATCATAAACTGTCTATAAATCCTTGGGGAGAGGAGTCTTTTGAGCCCCTGAGTAGCACCCATCAACCATTTATAAATCATTGCAGAGGGGTGGGGCCTCATGAGCCCCTCCTTTAGCAATTGTTCTCTGCCTATAATTCCTGGGGAGAACTTGTGAACAATATCTTCCTAGCAACTATTAATTGCCTATAGATGGTTAGGGCGATGTGGGGGTCTCATTATTCACCCCCCAGAAACCATTAACTGAAAGATTCCAAGTCAACATATCACAGAGATATAGTGTTTATTGCAGCATCATCCACAGTAGTTGTTACGGAACCAACAAGTTGGCACAGTTATGCAGTCCATTGTGCTGTAATAACAAAAACAATTTTCCCCATATATAGTCCAAATGATTGCTTATTTCTTATCTCTCCATAGTATCCCCCCAAATCCTTTTTTTTCACTTTCAAACTATTGCTTCATTCTAAAAATAAAATCCAAGGAAACAAATTTTAGGACAAATTGCTTATCACATATTTCCTCGGCAAAGAATTTAGGTCAAAGGCTAAAATGACACTTTTCCCCACATTCCTCTGAAGTCACAGGCAAAGTTGTCATATACTGTTGGAGATGTAGTGATTGAGAAAGACTGCTGGTTTTGTCTTTGGTCCCATCTTCTTTGGCCTAGAGGCTGGAGCTCTGAAATGCAGTGTAGGGGTATAAGGGTCAAAAACTGAAGCGTTAAGGATTGTTACTGCCAAAAAGAAAGATAATGAGGATTGAGAGATGCACTAATCTGTGGATATAACAATAAGTCATTAGGAGACAGTTCATGTCTATTTAGTAGCAGGTTCTCGCCTTTGGTCTCTGACATGTCTAGTCACATATTCTTGGCCCTGATAACAGTGTCAGGTATGGTCTTCCTATTGAAATAGATCTTAAATTCAATTAGAGTGTGATTGGTTACTCCCATGATAGTCTTGCCATTATTGAACCAGTGGGCATATTTTGCCAAGCCAGTTGTTACTGTAGCTTGCAGGGTAGACAGTTGGGTAAGGCTGATGATGTTGGTTACCTTTCTCTGCCAGTAACATGCATAGCATCTTCTAGTATTATGAAAGCTAACCAAGCAGAAATGAGCCTTCGAGGTCCAGACAGGCTTGATTTTGCCTTGTTTGTTCTGCAACTCAGGTATGTAGTATCTTCAGCAACAGGATCTTACTATCAACTCTCAACAGAAAACTTTCTCCTTGCAGCAGATTGTGATTATACAGAGACCCTAAAATGATTAATGTCCAGAGATTAAGAAATGACAGAGTGCTCCATCTTAAATGGAACACCTATATCTCCTCTTCTCCTCCTAGGACTCAGGGATCAATGCAGAAGAGGGGTTGGAAAGATAGTAATACTCAGAAGTCATAGATGAATACATGGCAACTGTGTGATCTGGCAACCCCAGGGTAGCTGTACATACGAACTCACAGAGCTTATAACTGCATGCATAAACCCAAGCTGGACAAGGAACCAGCATGAATAGCAGAGGTGGCCAGAAAGCCCCAGCCCTAACTGAGGACTGATTGGAAACTGATTGATGCTGAGAGGGAAAGTTTGTCTCCCTTACTTGTATGATGCCTAGTAGACTGATAGACACCAATGGATAGACTGGATGCATACCTGGGAGCACTTGGGAAACAGATTAGACTCAATAGAACTTAATTTTTTTTAAAAAGACAAAGGATAATAGAGAACATGAGGTTGGGGGTAATAGGTGAGGGTGGAGGTGGGGAAGAACTCTGAATATGATCAAAATACACTGTATGAAATTCACAAAGTAAAAATATATGTAAAATGAAAAATGATATACTAACTTCTCTGTGAGATCAAAGCTGGTTTGGGAGAGGAGCCAACTACAAGACTGAGGGGAGGATTTGCATAACATTGAGCTAGTCCTGGAATGGGGTGACTCACCTGCAACCCTGCCACAGCATCTGGGAAGGCTGACTCACATTAAAAGCACCTCCCTTACATAGTGTAGGAACTTCCAGTCACCATGGTCACTCACCCACCACAATATTAATTAACAGTGGAAATAAGAAAAGCACCTCTTCTTACACCTCTTGAGGGCATCTTTGATTTCTTTGTTCCTCAGACTGTAAATCAAAGGATTCAACATGGGAATAACCACTGTATAGAAGACTGATGCCATCTTGTCATAACCCTTAGAAATGTCAGAGCTGGGGTGCATATAAACAAAGAGTCCTGATCCGAAAAAGAGGGTGACTGCTGTCAAGTGAGATGCACAGGTATTGAAGGCTTTTGACCTGCCTTCTACTGAGCTGATCTTCAAGATGGTGCCAAAAATATAACCATAAGAGATCAGGATGACTAAGACAGATGCCAGGCCAAAAATAACTGCTATCACAAACTTCAGGACTTGTAGGGGAAAGGTTTCAGAGCAGGATAAGACTAATAATTGAGGCAAGTCACAAATGAAATGGTTGATAATATTTGGTCCACAGAAATGGAGCTGAACTATAGCACAGAGTTGGATCAAAGAACCGAGGAGACCAGTGATGTAGGCTCCAACCACCATGTGCACGCAGAGGGAGGGGGACATGATGGCTGTGTAGAGCAGAGGATTACAAATGGCAGCATACCGGTCATAAGCCATGGCTGCCAGAAGACAGCACTCAGCCAGACCCAGGCTTGAGAAGACGAAGTACTGCATGGTGCACCCCACGAAGGTGATGGATCTGTGCTTCTGGAAGAATCCTGAGAGCATTTTAGGGGTTGTAGAGGTAACATAGCAGAAATCTAAAAATGATAAATTACTGAGGAAAAAGTACATAGGAGTATGTAGGTAGGGGTTGATCCTAATCAAGATGATGAGACACAGGTTCCACACCACTGTGGAGAGGTAGGTCCCCAAGAATATAATGAAGAGAATGAGCTTGAGCTTGGGAAAATCTGAGAATCCCACAAGAATGAACTTGGTGATTGTATTATTCCTCCCTCCAGTCATCTTGAAGCTTCTTGGACCTGCAGAAAGATATGAGGGTTGAAATGGACTGGTGTAGCATTATGAAACGTCCTTGTTTTGAATGTAGTATTGCAGAAAAATTACCCACAATCAAGCTAACTTCAACAAAATCAAAATATAAATATTCTGAAAACTGTTGGAACTAGCACCTCCCATCATCTCTTCACAGTTTGTGTAACATTTAATTTTTTTCTATACATGCAAACAGATGTTGTCAATTTTTTGTCTAAATATTGATACCAATTTACACTAGTATATAGATTCCATGACAATATTTCTTGCTATTTTATTATCAACATTGTCTATAATTATTTAGCTTTGGTCTTTGACAATCTTATAAGTAAAACTTAGTTCATTGATTGAAATTTTTATTTACGAATTTATTCACACACAGACACATACAGCTACATAGTCTGTGTTTTTATATCATATTTTTTATTATTTATTTGTTAAATCTCTCTCTATATAAAGAATTTTAATTCATTGTCCCCCATATATGAAATTTTGCAAGTTTATTATTTGTTGTCAATGTTAAGTATGTTGTGTTTTAATATAACTATTCATTTTGTTTTTATTCAGTTTTGTGTGAGTTTAATAGTCTTAGCTTTGGTGTTAAACTGAAAAAGAGTTAGTCAAAAAATTCAATAAACTTGCCTCTACATTTTGATTTACTTGCCTCTACATTTTGATTTACTTTGTGTTTTTACGTTTACATTTAAATTTTATAGAATATTTTAATGCATGACGTGAAGTATAAATCTGAGGTTATTTTGGTCTTGTTTTACTAAATTAGTTGACACTAGTCTCACTACAGTAAATTGGATTATTTCCTCATTGATTAAAATAACTTTATGATGAAGTCAGTTACAGAATCCCCATTACATTATTTTTAATCTTAGTTCAAGTGCCACTTGTTCAGTTCCATGCCATTTCCTAATTACTCATTATAATATTTTCTTAATAAATTACAGAACATTTTAGTGACTGTCAATCATTTCTTTCCACAGTGATCACTTTGATGGCTCTCCTATCAATGCCTTCAAAATCCATTTAATGAACCCACCAAAGGAGAAAAGTCATCGTTCATTGCATTTCACTTTTCAATACTTTCAGAGATATAATACATAAAAAACGGTAAGTAGAGGCAGTGGAGAGACATTGACTCCTAATAATAAAGCTGCTGGTTCTATCAGACATGACAGAAGAACCTGGGTCCAGTGACACCTGCTTGGCTTCTGGGCCCTGTCTCTCCATGACCCTAACTGCTCTGGGCCTTCAGTTTCGTCTTCAAATGGGATCAATGTAGCTATTCTCCTTGCGTTAAAGGGACTCTGCTAAGACAGCAATGACTGTGCAGGAAATCACATGGAAAGAGCTGTGATTTGATATTCTACAGCATTATCAATGTGACCTTAGCAACCAAAGAAGAGGATTATTTAACTACTTGCCCAAAGGAGATTACACTGACTTGGTACCATTAATCAGTGTATATGAGATACAAGATCTAGGTTACATTCTTGGAGTAAAATCAATTTATAGGTACCTGTACTTAAAATACCCTTGGTAAAGATAGAAATATTCCAGCAGGTAAATTCATAATGAAATTTTATCTCAAGAAATTAGGTAAATGACTCTTTCAAGGCTCAAATTACTGTGGTGTTTCTGGGGCATATTTGTGATATGCTAACATAATTTTTGAGATATTAGGAAATGTTTCCAGCAAAGTTTATTTTTTGTTTTGAATATATTTTTAAGTGAAAAGATTTTTACTGGGAAAGTCAGAACCACCCTAAAAAATTTAATCTGTTAAGTGCACAGCGTAATATGTCTTTTCTAGTTCACTTATGAGCAAGAAAAACAGAAAACATTTAGATGATGATGACAATACTCAGTATAGAGAAAGTTTACATAATTAGAAAAATAGAAAGAAAGACTAGTTTTATACCAACTTCTGGAGTTATTTTTACTTAGTTTCTTTTTGTTTTCACTTTTTATTGTCAACATGACAATACTACTTGTGTAGTACCACAAGAATGGTTCCAGTGGAGGTACATATTTGGAGCACAGTAAGGATCAAATTTAAGGGGCTAGCAAGATGGCTCAGTGGTTAAGAGAACTGGCTGGTCTTGCAGAGGACCCAGATTCGATTCTCAGCACCCACATGATAGCTAACAACCATCCATACTTCAGTTCCAGGGGAATCCAACACCCTCTTCTGACCTTCATGGATATTACATGACACTGGTTACTTACATTCATACAGGCAATACACTCATACACAGAAATAAAAATAATAAATAAAATATATTTAAAAAGGATCAGATTTACAGGGCTAGAGAGATGATTCAGTAGTTCAGAGTGCTTGCTGTTCTTCCAGAGAACCCACATTTGGTTCCTAAGACCCATATCAAGTGACTCACAACCTCTTGAAACTTCCACTATAGCAAATCTGAACTTTTTCTGGCCTTTGCAGGCACCCATGCACATATGGCACACATAAAGATGTACACACATAAATACAAAATAAAAATGAATCTTTAAAAATAGAATCAGATTGAATATTCTAAGTTTTTACTGTGTAAATTCACTGCAGACACAATGTTTTCAGAGTACCATAAACTTCAGATTATTTAAAATATTTTTAAGAGTTTGTAAACAGCCAAGCATGGTGGTGCATGCCTCTAGTCCCAGCACTTGGGAGGCAGAGGCAGGAGGATCTCTGTGAGTTCAAGGCCAGCCTGGTCTACATAGTGAGTTCCAGGACAGCTGGGGCTACAGGGAGACCCTGCTTCAAAAAAAAAGAAAAGTTTGTAAACAAAGGAACACAGCCAGTTGCTCAGTATAGAAATATAATTTCCATACTTTTGAAGAAATAACAAAAAAAAAAAATAAATTATTTGCATGCTTACAACCCAAGGGTCAGACAAATTAAGGGACAAAGACTCCCCTAGTTTTGTTTTCTTTCTCTCTTAATATAATAAAATGTATCATCTCTTAAA